ATGGGTTTACTGCGTTAAGTACGGAATGTAGCTACGGTCGGGGGGGTCTTTGATACAAAAGACGTGGGGACAGGTGGAGTGGATGTTGCGCCATCCATGGGTGGGGTGGGGACCTTGGGGGCAATTTCGGCTAGGCATCTTGCTGCCATATTATGAGTACGTCTGCCATCATAGTTGAAGGCTTGGTGTCACATGGCACCTAGACGCCCAGTCCTCCATCATCAGGCTAGGATGGCTAGAGGAGGCTAGAAAACTGCGCTTAGCCCCTTCGAGCTTGAGCGTGTGATGCAGGAGTTGGAGTTGCCCCAAGCAGTGCAACCCTTCGGATACCAAGCTCCATAGCTTTGACTTCAGATACCACGAGGGGAGGTGCATGGAGCTCATCCCCTGGACGCTGAGAAGCAAGATGGCACACTGACCACTGCCTGAGAAGATGAATGCAAACCCCTTGCAGCTGTTGATGAAGACTTTTGGATGCCCATATATGCATGTGTATACACACAGATATATATATATATATTTATATGCACACATATATATATATATATGTACATTTATATATATATACATACGTGCGAAAATTGCATACCAAAACCCACGAATGCAGCACAGACTAAATGAGCCTGTTTGGAAGCAAGGAATGGCAGCTCCATGCAGATTGATCTAGACTTGTGGAGTCTTGCCTGGCATTCATCAGCCATTTGGAGCAACAAAGTTTTGTTGACCAATCCAAGTCCAAGTGACCAAATGAACCCCGTGTAGTTGTCCTTTCTAGGATGCGTGTAGACTCCTCGCAGAGCCCCCAGAAAAGGCAGATTGGATAAGGTGCGCAATGCCGGGTACTCGACGTTGCCGGGATTTCTGGTGCCGCAAGCGGAGGTGCCTGGAGCAAAGAGAAACAGGTTGATCAGTGAGCGGCCGAGGAAGGCCTAGGCAATCTTGATTCTGATGTTGGAATACGTTGCCTAGGGAATCCTGGCTAGGTTCTGGTATTTACACGGGAGGGCAGGGAAGTACGGAAAAGCGATGGGCGCAATTACACTTGACGCTTCGCCGCTCGCTGCAGGATTGGCTGTGACAACATGAACCGGCTGCCTGGCCAAAAGAGAACGCGTATGGGCAGTTCCCAAAATTAGGGTTCCACTTTAGTACGCCTAAATATGAGGTGTTTTTGATTATATGTATATATATATATATTCAAAAGGGGCCCTCAATTTTGAGAACAACCCATATAGTCGTTGACATGAAATCCATCTGCAGTTCTAGTAAACTGTTTCCTTTTTGGTGGCAGATCTATTCTCAGGGGGCAAGGGGTTGCCAGGGTATTGGGGTGGAACTGATAGTTTCTTACACGGTGAAGTGTGCTAAATCCCAAAAAAGACCTGCAACAGGTCCTTCCTGTCTCTAGTTCCCATGAACTCCAGAGAAGGCCCCCAACCAGGCCCCAGAGACAGCCAGAGACTTCCCCAGACGCTCTTCCCAGGTATGGGGCAAGAGGAGTGATATCCTCCATGGGATTTTGCCCAGTGCCGCCTCAGTACTCAGATCTCATGTTTGAGCAGCTGGGCTCTGATGACTTTGCGGCATAAGGAATTCGGGATAAAGGTTTAGGGTGTAGGGTTTAGGGACGAAGCTTGAAATTTTGTGCCCAAACAGGAGTACCATGAGCCCCCCCGTGTCCTCCTCCTGACCTTATCACTGCCGAAAGCCTAGCACTAACAACTTGCTAGTTGTAGCACCCACATAAGTACTGTCAAGTGGGGCGTGCTTTCTTACTTTCTGGAGCTGGCATCCACAAGCAACCGCGATAGCCTCAGGAAAATTATTGGGCAAGACATACCACTCAAGAGCTGGTTGTGTAAGCGGCATGGAAAAGGGTTTGGGTCAGGCTGAATCCCAGAATCTATTGAGAGCAAACTCCGGGGTAGGCAATCCTTCCATAAGCTTTTGGTATACGGAGAAAAAAGATGAACACACATATATATATATAATATATACATACGTATGTGGTTGCGTGCTGGTGGACCCTCCCCTGTGGTGTGGTTGGGCTTGAGTCTCGGGGATGATGAATAAGATAATGTTCTACATGAGCACTGGTAGAACGAGAGGTAGAAGGCTTATATGAGGAAGACGTTTAATCTTAAAAGATGCAGGTATAGAGACGAAATTTGAAGATTTCTAGCGCATGCGGAATGGTGGAGATTAAATGATGGTTTTATGAAAAGCGAGACCCGTATCCACCCTGTGGCCGGGGCCGGGTGGAAGGGCCAGAACGCATAATACACAAACATATTTAGCTCATTTAGCTCCATTCCAAGCCTGCTTTATCGTTCACATGCATGCGCTATGTTCGTCCAGAGCTCAGTCTTGCTGAAATCATTGAAATTGCGCAGCTAGCCTTTGTGGGCAAGGAAGCTGCGCAGCTAGGAAATTGATACGTGGTCATGATCAGATCGCTTGCCAACAAGAGAGCCTTAAGAATAGTATGCAAAGAAAAAATAGTGATGAGGGCAATCAATCAGTTGCCTGCAGATGGGGCAAGGCATTGCCACTGGGTTTGCAAGCGCGGTGCACCCTTCGTCCGATGCAAGTACGACTTCGACCGCCACGGCAAGCACGGGATACAGTAACTTGGCAATGCTCGGTCATGATCAGCACACTTATCCTCAAAGCGCAGCCATTTGTTGCTTCTATTCGTCAACACCATTGCTGCTGTTCCTACTCCGGCGAATGAAGCACCTGCAGAAGAAAGCAACAAACCAGGCGGATAAGCATCAGCCGATACAAGCAACGGACAGCAACAGAATACAGTACAGACACTCAGACGGAGCCCAGCTATTTGTGACCATCAATAGAGACACTTGAGCTAGACAGGTATCCAGGGTACCTGAGAGGTGGCTTGTTGCCTAGACACCGTTGTGCGGGGTGCCCATGCTGCCCAAGGTCAAGACTGGAGAAGTGCTGGGTCCAGGACAGCGAATATTGGGATAACAATGGAAAAGAAAGTGGAAACTACAGTAGTATATTGGGGTTATATTGGGATAATGCAAAAAATGGAAACTATTGTAGTATATTGAGGTTATATTGGGATAGCGGCAAAGAAAATGGAAACTACTATAGTATATTCTTTTCTGCATTGCTGCCGTAAAGGCTTCTCAAAGCCAGCACATTTACATGTTGCATCAGCTTCCACAGTTTGCTTGGTTGCGAAGATGTGGTGCTAAGAGCATTCACAAAGATGTGCAGCATGGTTCAGGAGACTTGCCAACATGGGCATTCACGTACGATCACCACGGCATGCAATGCCGAGGGCCGCGAAAGCACGTCACCACACGCACCTTCGAAGGCATTGAGGAAGACTAAGCCTCGGCAAATATGATGACGTCTGAGTGGTGCATGTTATCCGAACATAACCCACATGTACTATAGTAGTTTCCATTTTCTTTTCCATTATCCCGATATAACCCTATATTCATATATCCCTTACCCTGTATAATCCTTATTTTATTCGCGGCAAGCAGTCTGCAAATTGGCAAGCCTCAGAGCTTTGGTGCTGTGTTTTGCTTTGTCTTGACAGCGATGCTTGTAGAACAGGATATAGTCCCCCATAAGTAGATAGAGTATGGTGTATATGGGGACCTTATCAAATACCCAAAGCCATATTCTATCTACTCAAGGGAGACTATAACTCTTCCAACTCTTGCGTCGCATAGCCAGTCCCAGGCCGATGTGCTGGGATTTGCGACCCTGATGGTTCCTGCGGGTAGCTTCCAGGCCAACCCCGGGTTAATGTAGACCCCTGATGTATATAAAAAAACACACACACACAAACCTCTCCTTAATATGGATGATAATAGGGATCCTAAATGATCCTAATCTTGAGGCCCTTAGGGAGAGGGGGTTTATTAATCATGGGTCTACATTCAGACTTGTGGCTTCGGGTCTGAGGGCTAGAAACGACATCGAGGGGGTTGCTTGGGTTGGTACTAATTATTCAGGCCATTACTTGGGTTTTAGAAGGATACTTTGTCTAATCTGCTGTGGAAAAAGGACAAAGCACTGGCCATTGACAATTAATCTACCCTCCCAGTCCTGCTGTAGCTGGGGCATTCCATCCCGCATTTATTATCAATTTTAGTCTTCAATCCCCATACGAATCGTCACAGGGCTCCTCACAAACCCTAGAAAACTTTATCAAGCACTGGTCTCAAAACTCAAATGCTAGACTTGAGCTTCTGCACCTAGACCTTAAAGCCAAAACCTTAAGTCGGAAAAAGGTGCAAGAAAACAACAACTTAAGCCCCCCTAATAATCAGTAGATAGTGCTACCACGCAGAATCAGACTGTGTACACGTTTGCCGCCAGCCGTAGTGGGTGGCGAAATCTCCGAGCTAATTTTGTCAGGTGTCACATGCTCGACTTGCGAATGCGACTGGAGCAGTGACATTCCCCTAGCTCTGTGCCCT